CTAAAAATATTAAAATTAGGAATTTAATTTGTCGGGATTTTGTATATTGGGATTTTGTTGCCGGGATTTTGTGTGTCGGGATTTTGTGTATCGGGATTCTGATATACAACCCCTCTGGCGACTTTGATTTTGCTATTAAGAATGCCACTAAAAAGATATTAAAAAAAAAAAAACGGTTACCTCTGGCGACTTTGATTTTGCTATTAAGAATGCCATTAAAAGTACAACTATGATTACAAAAAACGAAATTAGCTTTATCTTATGTGATTCGAGGAAATCACTTATTGTCACTTTCAAAAAAAAAAAAATATTTTTGAATATAGTAAATTTTCAACAAGTAACCAAATAGTAAATCATAAAACACTAAATATTCTTACTAGCTTCTTGAAATCCATAAGTTTCATCTAAATACATTGTAGTCGATCCTGTTGATACATTCGTCGATTCTTTATTTATTATCAATAGGTTTAAATAATTTTTGACTACTGTGGCTGTTATTTCGCCACTCTTTGCCTCATTAATAGAAAGCGAGATAAGAATTTTCGATTCAGTAGAAGATGTATCAATTTGATTGCGTTCATTTGAACTCAACCTTCCTTCCTCCGTGGGAATTATGAATACGAGATCATTTATCAAATTTATAAGAAATTCATGTTTTTCTGAGCCATTTAATCCTTGAAAATGCAAAGACCCCTTTGTTGTTAATCGTAATTTTCCCTGGATACTAACTATAGTAAATTTTAAATTTTTAATAAATTTATATCGATATAGATAGATTAAAAAATAAGTTTAAGCCATATTTACCATCACGCTGTTTACTTTGTGTGGTACTATTATCTACATATATTAATGATACTGTATTCACTATTGATAAACAAGTTAAATAAATAACAAAGGATTACAATTATATAACGTAAACCTGTTTGAAAATTCCATAAATTTGGTTCAATTCCCAATATGGATTCTCTATCATCTGCGCTCATTACAAAATTGTTATCTATTTGTATATAATATTGCCCACCCGGTTGGTTAAAAGTACAATTGAGCACATAGAGTGTAACAACATTATTTAAAATATTGCATTCGCTAGCATCACAAGTTTTTGATTTAATCGATTGTCGAAGAACATCTCCCTTACTGGTTTTTTGATAGATATATAGAATACCATCTGCAAGCAAAACGGGATTTTGATATGTGATGCTAATTTTATTGGAATTTAATGCAAGACCATTGGAGTCTTTTGGAGGATATGTAGAGTTCACTTGCATGTTGCCATAACCAATATCTATAAATTATTAGTCAAATTAAAAAAATAAAAATAAAAGGATTTTTAATTGAATTCAAAAATGCTTTACCGTAATATGGAGCAAGTCGAGGCAAATCTATAGAAAAAAGATTCCAAGAAGTTGAAGTTTCGTTTAACGCAATTAACATTGTATTATTTCCTAATATATCAAACACGCCAACAAGGTTTGCGATAATAGGCTGCCATGGAAACATCCAATTGGACTGATTATTATAATCATCATAAAGACTAAAATTGAAGTTTACAGCTAGCACATTATAAGATCGTGATATTAATGCGTATCCTCCAAAAGGCATTGCTCTAATAATCGCTATGCCGCTACTTAATGGTATGTTGAATATTGACTCTAATTTAAATACAGATCCGGTGGAAAGAAAACGTACTTTTATATAAAATGGTGTAGGTGTTGATGTTGAAACATTTTGTACGGGGATTCCTGCCACAATGCACGTATGACCAACGAAAACATTGTCAATTGAGCAATACAATGTAGAGAAACTTATTTTAACATTAGGTGTAGACATTTCATGTAAAATAATTGTTTTGTTAGTTTTTGTTTGATTGTAATTCAACATTATGGCATATAATCCTGCATCTGCGGTAAACTGAGCGGCTAACGTATTATTTGAAGCTGTGCCATTACTCGTGTTAGCGTATACAAGTGCATATCCACCATTTAAAGTTGCAAATGTAGTTAATAGACTGTTTAATGAAAGATCAAGATCAAGCGTGTCATTCTGTAATAAATAGAATATTCCATTGCCTTTACTATAAAAAAAAATAAAAAATTGAATGGGTATGTATGTGACATGTAACTAACAAATACGAGAATGCAACGTACTATCCATATTGCTTCCATTCGGCATAATTTGTTCCAGTAACCATAGATAAACGCAAAAAACCTTTTTTAGGACTAACGTTATTTTATATATAGTTTTCTATCTGCCAAAGAGTCGTGCCTGGGATCAAGTAAGACGGTCCAAAATCGATTTTACTGACATACAAGATATAATTAATTATTGATACTTAATACTCAAACATTTTAATTATACTTTCAACAAACCTTATAATATTTCCACTCCAATCTAAAACCATTCCACGATCCGTAAAAGTTGTATTGTCGGAAGTATTAGTAGCATGGGTGTATGTCACTAGAATGTACTGGTCAAATAATGGGTATGTAGTTATAGGATTTTTACCATTAACAAAACAATAATTAATATCTTGTATTTCTTCAATGTTATCAAAATTTATTTCGGTGACACTTCCGTTTGCCTGAATAACGCGAAGTAATAGCCTTTGTTCAAAACAGTAATTATAGGTGGAGTAATTGAAGAAATCCACTTGACTGATTCGAACAACTATAGTATCCGTACTGTCTTTATAATGACGAGTATCCATGACTAAAAGTCGATTTCCAGAGTTTTTTGCATAATTTTCTGTATATGTGAAGTTTCTTATGTCATTTTGTGCATGCCCCGTTGATAAGAACAGAAAGATACTAAATTTAACAACTGTAGATACGAAATTATACGATAGGGGCTTCATTTATTTTTTCATTCAGAAAGATAAAAAATACGAGTTAATTTAAAGCTTCGAATCCATCACGATATTTTATGCTTTGGATCTCATCTCGATATTTGTACAATTGGTACAATAACGATAAGCTACTATCAACAACATAAATATACGTAGCAGTGCTTTTCCATTTTGAGAAAATCACATTTCAAATTTGGTGTAACAATAACAAATCTAATTGTAATACGTATGGACATTTAAAAAAGTGGGCATAGACAAAATTTTTATTATGTAAATTGATACGTATTTTAAATATCAAACTATATCGTGATTTGTGATTCACAATAAATGAATAATAAACCAATGTGATTAACAAATGATACAAAGTTACACAAGATAAGTGTGAGAATTCGATGTTCATTAATTTTGGTTATAAGTTTCCTTCTGTTTGAAATTCATATTAATTTATTAGATAAATCGAAATCAGAGGAGTTTTTATTGAAGGCGCAAAATGATTCCTTAATTAGCCACCTTAATCATTAAGCTTTGTTTATGTGACCTTAGAATGTGTACCCATTGTTCACCATCAATGAAAAATCTGTAATGGTAACGGACGTACCAGGAACGTAGTAGAACGTACCAGGAACGTAGTAGAACGTACCAGGAACGTAGTAGAACGTAGTGTATGGTTCCACTCGAGTTTTGCGTTCGTACGCAAAATCTTGGTTCTGATTG